CCACTTCCCCACTGGAACTCCCACTACCCCTACTATATCTATGCCGCTGCATCCCATTGTAATTCATTTTTGCCTTTCCTTTGTTCTGAGCTATTAAAGTTGACTCAACTTCGTTCTCTACCCATGAAGTAGATGTAGACATTTTCCCTAATTTTCTCTGGGCTTTCTCAAATAAGGTGGCATCACAAATAGCTAAAAATTTCAAGCTATTTTTCCCTAGCGAATTCGAAACCGCAGTCTTCATCGTCTTCCAACTGTCAAGAAAAGATGTCAACAGTCTCATAGCTTTCACATCTTCCTCAATCTTGGCACACATCCCTTCTAATTTGTTCAAGATATCGGTGAGCTCATCAATGTGAGAATTCACCGAGGTTCCCTCCTCCATATGGATATTAAAATACTTCGTCCATAGAAGTATTTTTGTATTAGCAGAAGGTTTTTGATACCTGTCTTGCAGGGCCTTCAACAATTCCTTCGCTGTAGTCTCTTTCACCACCAGACTACAAACATTTATTGATAACGATATTCTGATGTTTGCAATGGCTTGCTCATCCATCTCATTCCAATCCTTGTCGGTCATGTCCGCTGGTCTCTCCCCCAGAGTCTTGTGTATCTTCTTGCACGTAAGAAGATCCTTTACCTGCATCTTTCAAAAACTGAAATTTTCCTCGGTGAGCTTCAGAACCCCTTCATAATAATGGTGTGCGTGATATTTGTCTCCCATGATGTTGCAACCCTACAGCTCTGATACCACTTGTTGGGAAATTAACGGTCCTGTGTAATTTTCTCTTCTATGGAAATATCTAAACACAACAAAGAATATGCAAATAGGAAGAAAACTGTAAAAGCACAACAATAACGACACAACAAATTATATTGGTTCACTACTAAGGGGTACGTCCAGTCTTCCACTTAGATACGAGTAATTCACTAATAATTGTTCAAGGACTGGATACAATAACTCTCCCAAAATATCCCCTAAAGGTCCCAACAAAAGCCCCCTAGCTTCTAAGCAATCTAATACTATTACTTAGGAAAAGGAATGAAAAACTCACAATAATCAAGATACAATTTACCCTGAATAATATGATCTTGATCTCCCAATCTGCTGCAAACAATCCCGTGCTACTGCCACGAAAAAAGTGCTACCAAAAAACCCCAATTTGGCTTCCCTTATAATTTTGATGGCTGCTCCCCACAAAACATAAAACTCATATATATATATATATATATATATATATATATATATATATATGAGTATGTGAAACCTAAAAAATAAAGGTTTGGGCTTTTGACACATTATTTCTTTTCACTCCTTCCTTTTTATTTATTTATTTTGTTTTGTATCCAAAGAATCCCAACAGCTCCTGCATCAAATCCCCCTCGCTAAATCTCCCCAACGGTTTTGATTTTGTTATATGTCTTTCGAATTTTTGCGTCGTAACTCCCCATCTGCATTATCATTCTTCTTCCTTTTTGATTTTGAGTTCGTTGTGTCGCTCTCTGTTTCCCTTTTTCTTCGAGTTCTTTTGAGTTCCTTATTCATCTTATTGAAAAAACGAATTAACACAATGAACAAAAAGAAAAGAGAGAAATTAGTTAAAACCAACAAATCGACCAACCGAACCGACCATTTGGTCGRTCGACATAATGAGTATCTACAAAAAAAGTTGGTTTTCATTTTCTGAAAACTGACAAGGTCGGTTCGGCGCCGGTTTTGGCCAAAAACCGACTCCGATTGACCACATGGGGAGCTTTTATCAATCTGCAGAAGGTGTTTTGTGGGGGCTCTTTGTTTGGTTAGTACCTGGAAAAAGAAATCATACAGAAAAATTATCTTTACTGTAAAAACTCTCTCTTTCACCAATGAATTCCCTGAACCAGACCTTCACCGGAGTTATAGCAAGTAAGGTCGTGGTGGTGTTCGTTTGGGTTCCATTGAAGAAAGGTTTTTCAAAAGTAAGTCTTTTTTTTATCTGGTTCCATTTTATTTTGCTTTGTTTTTGCTCCTTAAAATTCAAAAACAAGATCGTCGTTTCTGCTACGAGATTAACGTCCCATCAATTTAGGTGTAAGTGCTTTCTGTACCTAAGAAATTATTGCTCAAATAACTTCTCACAAAGAACTTATCCATGTGTTTTTATTGGATATAGTCCTATTCACAAATGTTATAGATGTCTTGATACTCGAAATCATAAAGTTTACGTTTCAAGGCATGTAATCTTTGATGAAGAAGTTTTTCCTTATCAAAAACACACACGTACCATTCATGATATTACACCTACACTTGAAGTTACTAAGTTTGTAAGTTGTGAAGATGATTGAAGATCATGCTTCCAAAAACCAGAACATGAAGTATGATCAACAAATGAAATTTGAGGGAGGACATAACACCAATAGTAAACAACTATCCATTGCAACAAAGTAACACAATTTGGTCATTTTCTAGAAATRGCAACTTGATGGAGAACAACTCACTCCCTCAATCATCGAAAATCTAGAGAACAATGCTGAGGAAAAACAATTTGCTTCCTCGATAAGTCAAAATGAAGAAGGAAATCAAGGGAACAATTTTGAGGAATGACAAATAAATCCCAAAATGCACTGAAAATATGCTAGAGAATGATCAATGTGTAAGCCCAATTGATGCAGATACGGACCAAAAATTTCATTCCCATACAAGACTCGATATCCATCAAATTCCAACAAATGAGCTCTCTAATCCCTCAAGCTTATATGATTTATTTGATATTGTGAGCAACTTTATGTATACTTACCTATATGTTATGCAGGTAACTCATTCTTCCTCAAAACTACTGTAACAACAAATCAAAATGTTCATCACATGATAACCAAAAGCAAACTTAAAAGCCATCCCAATTTTGACAAAACTGGACCAGAGTGATTCACCAAAATCAACATCTTTCCTTTCTAACATCTACCTCAACTAGTGAGCCAAAGTCCTACAAAATTTCTCTTAAGATTCTTCATTTGAATAAAGATATGGAATAAGAAATGAATCCTCTCCRTAAAAACCATACTTGAGATCTTGTTCCTTGTCCTACGAAAAAAGTATTGTAGGATCAAAGTGGGTATTTAAACTCAAGGAAGATAGCTCAATAGATAAATATAAAGCTTGATTAGTAGTTCAAGGTTACTCTCAAATAGAAGTGCTTGACTATGCAGAAACCTTTAGTCCCGTTGTCAAACCCCCGTAACAAATCGTTTAGTTCTTAGCATTTATATCACATCCAAGTGGCCCCTATGTCAACTAGATGTAGAAAACGTCTTCCTCCATGGGGTCCTTAAGGATCAAGTCTACCTAGCTCAACCTTCTGGTTTCCAAAAATTCTCACTTTTCACACCAACTGGGCAATGACTAATCTCATATTTTTGGCCACATGTGGAGTATTTGTATTAATTGGAAAATCCCCTTTATTTATGGCATTTGTATCTTTCATAATTTAGGCGATAAAGGAATTATTACCATTACTTTATTTTATCTTTCTTGTATCTTAAAATTAAATCCCCTAAGTTTCAATTACCTCCTAAATTGACAGCACTTTTCCTAAATTAATAGACATCTTTGCTGTCAAATTCTTTCCTTAACTGACAGTAGGTATAGACTCTCAAAGTCTTGTTTTTCAATGCTATGTATGAGAATTATTTCTATTGAATCTAGGTTTAATCTGTTGATAAATCAAACATATATTATGAGTTAAAATTATGCAGAAGATGCATAAAATAAATTAAAAATCGAAACCAAAGTGTAGTTAATCAATATCATATTTGCTCATAGAATTTTAACATACTCTTGTAAGATATGAGTTTAAAAGATCAACCCAATCATGAAGATTTGAAAAGATCATAAATATAAAAACATGTATAACCAATAAAAAATGTAGTATCAATGGCCAGGTCAGGGGAAAAAAAGAGAGAGAGGAAGGAGAACGAGTAAAAGTAAACAAAGATGGAATAATGAAAACACGGATCCATCATGTTTGAATGGCAAACAAATGGTGATTTAGTAATGTGACATAATATAATAAGTGTAAGATAACAAATTAACAAGAAAATAACCGCATGTATTTATACTTTATAACCCCATTTCACAATACTCTTTCTGCATTTCACACTACTCTTTTTGCATATAACTTATTTGGGATTACATGTCAATAAACCCTCTCCTCTTTTCTCTCTAGCCACCACATTCTACCAAGAACAGTAATTATTGGAGAACAAACTTCATCATCAAACTAGAAAAACTTTTATGGRAAAGAATTACTGTAACGCCCCGCGTTACTCRGGTTAGATTATCCTCAAGTCTCGGGGTTCTTTTCTTAGAAATTATTTTAATTTACTTTAATTGTTCTATTTCATTTTATTTTGAGTTGCTACGGTGTTTATTGTGAGTTTATTGGCTTTTATGTATGTATTTAATTATTGTTTAACAAAGAGTTTGTTTTCTTTGGCAATTGTCCTGGGTCGTTGGGCCGATTGTTTACTTCTATTATTGRAGATAATTAAGTTTACTRTGTTGGGAACTAGAATTCTAATCTTTTGGTCCATGAGCCTTGTTTTGTTTTAACAAAAATAATTGGGTAGGTGGGCCTTCATTTTTAAAGCAAATGAGAAAATAAGGTCAAACCCTAACCCCCTAATTCTTTTTTTACGTGAACCACCAGCCCCCTCCTTGTTTTTCTT